TTTTCTACTATAAAATTTTCATTTCCAAAATGAGATCACTTTTTAAATCTGATTAATAATCATCCAAAAAAAGTGGTCTCAATCATGAAGTAGCCGTTAGAGAGCAAACGTGTTCCGTCATTATTTATAGTAGAGAGTAATAAATTTATTACCACTCATTGAAGACTACTAATCTGATACAGTTTACATCGATGATTAGTTTTTATGATCAAATTTTAGTTTGATTAATAGATGATTACTACTCATTTAATATTTTCGCTGATTTTTCTTGGTGCTCATCATTCCCGTTCTGAACAATCATCGTGCTGATTATTCCTGTGCTGAAATTTCCCGTGCTGAATATTCCCCGTGCTGAACTTTCCGGTTCCCCTACAGAACCTGCTTTTTGAATCTCTGATAGCATTTTTCTTGTTTGAGCACCATTCAAAATATTGAATAGTGCTAAATTCTCGAACTGCGACATACCGAAAACAGAAAAATATTTGCCTTGATCCCAGAACAGATATTTCATAAGAATTTTTGAAAACATCAGAAGATTCACCGAAAAATTCTTCATCTTCTTACACATTCTTCGAAATTCTACAGTTAAGTTTTCTACAAAAATTTCTCTTTGTAAAAAGATGATTAGACTCTAAATCAGATAGTTTGTGAAATCAGAAAACAGTTTAGTACATCTTCAGTTTTAAAATATTACCTTTTAAGTATAAAATGTCTCGTATAGCTTGTTGTCCTTCTTGAATAAAACGATAAATATTGTTTGTATCAAGTTGAACAGATAATTGTGGATTTTTGATAACATGTAAAATGTATGTGATAATATGTTCAATATTTGGCAATGATAACGGTTTCATATAATTCGTAACTGTATTGAATACATTAGTTACAAAAATTATAGTTAATATATTATCTGGATCATATTTGTGATGTCCCACATCGATTAACCATCGATTTATCGAATTAAGTGTTGAAACATTATTTTCCGGTGAATATTTTGCTAAACTTAGATGAACAAGACGTTTCCATACATAAATAATCCAAGGACTTTTTTGATTTATGCATAAGTTTTGATATGTTATTCGTGTCAATTTTACATAACCAGTTGGTACTATTAAAACATAACTATTAAACCATTCATCTTTAAATATTTTTGATGGATCATATCGTGTACATAAATTATCTAATTCATGAATAAGAGTAAATAATCGTTCGATTTTAGGACTATACAATGTGTCGGTACTTGTTCCAGAATGAAATTTAACTAAGCTTTCGATAAGCATTAGACAATAAGGTTGTTCAACACTATTTAATGATATTTGAATTCCAATTGTTAATAAATCTTTTAGTTTATGGTCAGGATAATTTCGTATACCTTTTTTAATATAAGAACTAAAAATCATTTCTAATAGAATCAAAAATGTTGTACGATGTTTTTCATCATCTATTGATTGTAAACGTTGAATAGCTAATTTTATTAAATTAATAAACTCATTTGTATAAAGATCTTGAATATTTTTATTTACTTCGAAGATTAGAAGAATATACAATGTTAATTCGATCATCAACATATCTTAAATGGCATGAAGATCATAATATTAAAAGTTTGAGAGAAATGATATTAGTTCATACAAAACAATCATTTTTCTATAGTAATGGTTTAGAACCAAATTTTAGTATTCAAGATGATAATTTATTAAAACGTATAAAAATTCATGAATATATATCATCAATGAAAGTAGATGATGATGATACAGTAGAATTATTTTTAGCATTAAGTAAATTAACTCTTCAAGCATCATTATATATTAATGAAAAACAACATCAATTTACATGGATACAATTAATAAAAATGGCTAAAACTGTTTCATTTACATTATTAATAAAAAAATATATTGTTTATGCTCAAGTATTTGAACAATTTCCATTTGATGTACAAGCATTTATCTATTCAATTAGTTCTACATCAAAATTTCCACTTCAAGCTATTTATTATTATGCTGAAAAATTAAATTTAAAACAAGAAGAATTATGGTATCAATTTTTATCATTATTTGAAAAAGGTTTTAAAAAAGGTCAAATACAATATGATAATAATGATATAGCATCATTATTAAAATATATAAGTCGAGATGATAATCTTTTTGTTCAATATTGTAC